TCTGCCTCCCTCCATCATCGCTCAGGAGAGCCCCGTTGCAGGTCAGTGCAGAATCTCTACATGAGACATTGTGGTGTTGGTGGAAGCATCACAGGGCCTCGTGGGGGCACTGGGAGGAGCACATGGGAGCCGGAACCCACAGGTCTGTCTGTGCCTCTGAACTTGGAGGATTGTGGGGGCCGGAACCCGCAGGTCTGTCTGCACCTCGCTCCTCTGCATATGCGCTCTGCCTCTCTGGTGCTGATTTCCTCACTGGAAAGTGTTGATGGTGCGGCCACCCGGGCCCAGGTCTCTGAGGGCGGCTCTGGGAAGCCTCCCGCTTCCTTCCTTTCTCCAGGCGCGTGGCCGAGTCTTCCTTCCAGGAAGCGTGAGCAGCTTGTGACACTGAGACGACTCATCACTTAGCAAAGGAGGGCAAAGTGGGTACCCCGCGGTGCTCACGGCGCCCTGTGTTTCACTAAGGGCTGTCACAGACCCTCAGACCCACCAGACCCCGCTGGGCCACAGGGGGGCAGGACAGCCGTTTCTCTGAAGCTCAAGGGTGATCAGAAATGCTAGAAAGTGCGCCTGTGTTGTGTCCCCGCGGGGCAGGGCCGCGCCCTCCAGGCGGCACCCGAGGCACCGCACACGCCGTCCACGCTTCCGCTGCTGGGCCCCGAGGGGTGCGGTGCCCGGGGAGGGCTGGGTGCGGACTCCGCGGAAGCACCAGGGCCCGGAATCGCTCGACCGCTTTGCTGCAGCTCCCCCGAGCACGGTTCACGGGGTCTCCGGGTCACGCGTGAGGGAACACGGTTCACGGGGTCTCCGGGTCACGCGTCAGGGAACACGGTTCACGGTCTCCCACGCGTTACGGAGCGCGGCCTTCATGGAGCTCCAGCAGGCGAGAAAGGCGACTCCTGAAGCGCGTTCTGCCAGAAGGGACCGAAGTGAGGGGCCTGAGTGAGGAAGCCCCACGCGGAGTGGCCGTGGTGAAAGTTGCGTTTCTCCAGTGAAGACAGACGCGCATCCCACGCGTGAACGGGTGATTCCCAGCACTTCTCAGTGGAAGGCACGTGTCTGGTTTCGGGACGGAAACGTGATGTGGGAGGTCGGCGCTGTCAGTGTCGCAGCGTGATCAGCGTGGGCAGGGGCTGGGTGGGCGCCGAGCCTCTCCCTGGGAGCTGTTCGGTCTGGACCGTGGGAAATAAGGACGCCAGGTGGAGGAAGCTCCGTCACCGGGTTTCAGGAGGTCTCAGCGCGCAGGCGGAGCTGTGGTTCTCTGACGGCGGCCAAGCTGGCTTCCTAGGCCCCGCGGCCCGTCTTTCCCATGGTCGGTGGAGCAAACCGCTCTCCTCCCTCGTAGGAAGAGGCCAGGAGAGAGAGAGATCTACGGAAAGAACGAGGGTTCCTGTGTCTCTTTAAGCATAGATAGGGGCATTTCTGAGGTGGCTGAGATGGTCATTAACATTTCTCCCCCACGGTCCCAGATGCTGAAGATGTGAGGAGGAGAACATGGCCCTACCCACGCCTGTCCAGGCGAACAATGTTCTTGCCTAGTGAGGGTTCTGGACTGGGGATGGGAAGGTGGTAGAAGTACCCTAGTCCCCTCTGTCCACGGGGACATGTTCCAAGACCCCCAGCGGATGCCTGAAACCTCAGCCAGTGCCAGCACTTGTAGGTAGATTTTTCCTATTGTCCACAAGAAGAGTCAAATTCTGTATTTTGAAGGGATTTATTCTGAGCCAAATATGAGTGACCCATGGCCCGTCCACAGCCCTCAGGAGATCCTGAGAACACATGCCCAGCGTGGTCAAGATACAGCTTTTGGTATTATACACTTTAGGGAGACATAAGCCATCGGTCAATACCTGTAGATGTACGTTGGTTGGGTCTGGCAAGGCGGGACAGCTGGAAGTGGGGCCTCCCGAGTCATTATGGAGTCAAACATTTTCCGACTGGCTGTTGGTTGAAAGAGTTAAATTACTGTCTAAAGACTAGAATCCATAGAAAGCAATGTCTGGGTGAAGATAAGGAGTTATGGAGACACGGTTCCCACTGTGCAGAGGAAGCCTCCCGGCAGCAGGCTGCAGAGGGGATGGATGGGAAGTGCTTCTTACCAGAGTCAGTTCTCTCCTGGATCTGGAAAAAGGAAGGAAAAGGAAGGGAATACTCTTTAGAACGTAGATTTTCCTGGACTATTTCAAGATATGGCAGAAAAAACAAAACAAACAAAAAAAAAAACCCCACACATTCGGGATTGAAATATTTTTATTTCCTCCTTTATCTGTCACATGATGTGGTGCCAGAGTCAGGTTGGAAAGTGAGCCACGTTATGCAGGTAAAGAAAACCCCTGTAGTGAGACTCCGTGGTTTGTAGGGCATGACTCCCCAGGCCCCCTGGATAGGAATTTGGGCAAGAGAAGAAGAAAGCCGGAGTGTAGAACTCACTGTGTCTGTGCACCCATGATAAAGCTCAGCTGGTATGTTAACCACAGTAGGAGAGTAACCTGAGTAACTACAATGAAATCGACACTTATAACAATCTACTGTAATAAAAGGTGTGTGAATGTGGTCTTGTTGTCTCTCTCAAAATCGCTCATTCCATACCTCAGGTGACTGAAGCCACGGGAAGAGAACCTCCGAGAAGGAGGGGAATACAAAGCCTCGTTAGATAAGGAAGGATGGTAACCACAGTTATACCGACACACATGCTACATTAAGCTCTCCTAGCTGGAAAGCCACACCACACTCGGAAACCTTCCATACATGTACTCTCAGCCCATGCTGGATTTTTAACTTTGAGCGGTGTTGCCTGAGCCACGTGGCTTCCAGACCTCCTATTATCTCATCCGATAAACAGCAAGGGCAGGTGGGAGGAGATCAGGCAGCAAAGCATTTGTACTCCTACAATTCGAAGGCTGACGTTCAAACGTCCCCACGCCTCATCTTTGGAGTGCCATTCTCAAGATAATTAGGTGTGTTCCTCGAGCAAAGCACAGGCTTCTGAGACCAAGCTTGTGCTTTGTGTGAAGCACGTGGCTTTGCTAAACTCCATGCCTGCTGCTACTGGTGGTGTTAGCAGAGCACCCGTGCTTGTCATTGCAACTGTGTGATGTTGGCCCATCCTTCAAGTCCACCCGGTGAGAGCCCGGCTTTGTCTCTGTGTGCATGTGTGCTGAAACTCGGGCATAAGGAGGGCGGAGGTTGAGGGTCCATTGTTTTAGTTTATCCCCAAATTCCATTCTCACCTAGCTGGATGCTCTGTTCTCACATTACTCACACATGTGATGATGGTCTCCATGGAAACTGTACTTAATTAGAACTGTCCATCATATTTTTACATGAATGAGACCATTCCAGTCTGTGGCTTTATATTATACTTAATGTGGGCATTTGGCAGATGTATTTCATTAGCTGAAAGATGCAACTTAAAGTATGCAAAAAGTGCTGTTAGCCTTGAAGAAATGGGGTTGTTTTATGTTAAATCATTTGAATGAGCTGTCTTGTAAATACTTAACCTAATTCACATAGCTACTTCTTATACATGTATATTTTTTAAAAAGCTGTAACTGGGCAATCCCATAAAATGAAATCTTAGTTCACATTACCTGAGAGGCAACTGTATCCTCTTCATCAGCATCTCACATTCCAAATCTGTCATCTTCCTTTCCTGACCTTCTGCCAACTCACTGAAAACAGCAGATGCCGATTTGCTGAATCAGGGGTGGTGACAGCAGTGTAAGTGGCTCCAGCATCATGTTCTGAAGTAAATCCTTTTGCAGACTACAGCCTGGCTAACTGCATCTAACACTTGGGTCAGGGGTGGGGGCAAATGTGAGATGTGCCTCAAAGCCTGTCTATGAACATTGGAAACCCATGTATGTGTGAATACATGCCTAGAGTCTGAACCTGCAATCATATTTATAATTATATTTTGGGCACATATGCCAAAGTGGTGACAAAGATGTGTGTACATACATGTGTCATCGTTCTGATACATACCCCATAAATAACATGTTTACAGGCATGTGTAACATGGTACCAAATGCTGCCTTATCTGATGCTCCCTGTCCGCCTCCTCAGGCCATTCCCCACCCCTCTCACTGTGGCTGGTGTGGGGCAGAGCCTCCCTGGGATCCGGCTGTGTCTGTGCTGCCTCTGCAGCCAGGTAGAAACCAAGGCGGCCTAGAGAGTTGGCACCTGGTTTCCTGGGCAGAGCCCATCGGGAGGAGAGCCACTGGATGGCGCTCAGTCCAGCTCCCCAGGGACCAGTTAAATAAAATCACAAGCTCATCTGTCTCCCCAGGTCCCTGTTGCCCCACACATGGAGGGAGGACAGTGCTCAGTGACCCCAAGACCTTTTACAGCCACATGGTGATATCATTCTAAGAAAGTGATGTCTGCTTTTGTGTTAGCACAGAGTGAACAATGGAAAATGAATGCCAGTGACCTGGATGATCTCCCAACAGAGGGAAATGAAATCAGTGTTTTGGTCAAAGTGGACCTAATATGAACTAATATTAAACACTAAGCCCACAACTGCAGACTTTGAACATTGCAAAATGAGGCTTCGAATGGCGTGAAGCTTTCTAGACAGGAAGGAAAGTCTTTATCATGGACGACGCGGGGCCCTCACGGGACTCACCCAGCTGCAAGGAACCAGGGACAATCAGAGTGGGCTGATTTTACTGAAGTCTGTTCCAATGCAAATAAGGCCTAATAAATTTGAAGTTAGGCCAGAGTTAAAGCTGAGAATCATTGGGACTCACTGCCAACGTCCGTGTCTAGGTAGGAGAAATACGTGCATCTGTGGTCACAATGCTTCCTTACAGAAAACAGTGGTTGTTCCTGAGGTTATTGGCACAAAATGCTGGGCTCTGAGCAGTGACATTTGAAGAAATACGAAGGTGTCCGTCATGTTTGAACTGTGTTGAGTGTGGAGGCTTTTGAAGATGTGCTGGGAGTGACTGCAGTCTATACCAGAAACGCATTAAAGAGTGACTTTGTTTCTGTCTTTGCAGAGGAAGAAGGTGGAGACCTGGTCCAGCCGGGCATCAGCTTTCCAGGGCCGGCAGAAGAGGATCTAGGTAGAGTACATTCGTCAGCCCTACTGTGGCGGGGCCCGGACAGAACCGGGCACGCTCCGGGCAGCTCCCACCATCGGGACCTTCCCACAAACACACGTTAGCATGTTTGCCTTTAGAAAGGGAGCTAAAAAGAACTAAGTACATTGGGACACTTTTTTCCAAAAATAATAGTTTTTAAACATTACAGAAGTGCTGAGTGAGGAAGAGCTGTTCCTGGCCCTCAGGAACTCAGGCAGCCATTCACATAAACAATGCATGTCTCCAGAGGTGAAGGACCCTTCCTTCCCTTGCTCCTCTGTGACTAAACGTATTCAAAGCAACCTCAGGAAGCAGGGAGCTCCCATATTTGCGTTTTTCACATAGCCCTTCCTTGGCAGGAAGCAGCTCATCTCTCCAGCCGGCCTCACACACTGGGGTCTGGATGCTGAGTATGACTGTGCTCTTCCTTCCAGGGACCCTGGGAGAGGCTGCCACAACATACTTTCCCTGGTGCTGGTTAAAATCACGTGGAAATTTCATTTCTGAGCTGCCACTGGCACAGTAAAGCTGGTGCCATATTTGCCATCAGTCTTTTGACATGGAGCTATGCTTACAAGAAGAAGGCCAAATGCTTGTGTTAAAGATGTGAAATGTTGAATACATTTGACATCAAACGGTTGAATACAATCAACGACAAACCACAGCTGAAGACGGAAGCCCCATCAGTGGCTCTGTCTGTGGTTATTCTCTAGCCTAAAAGATTGTTGGCCTCTTCCTCAACCCACTGATGGCTGTCTGCGGTGACAGCACTCAGGGCTGGGTCATGGATCACAAGTTCAATTCATATTTAAATGTGCATTTTTAAAAACGTAATTCGGACTTTTAGCCAATGCATCTGTTGCTGGTTTGATTTGCCTAAAGAATAATGCTGAAAATTGAAGGAGTCCACTTTACATAAAGCTGTGATTTCTGTTAAAGAAAACTACAGCCAAAAAATGTTTGCTTTTCAATGTAAGATGATGGAAATGGGTAGAGTTCTAAAGGATGACAGTCCATTATCCACTGCAACTGGGTCCTAAATTTGTTGCTAACTGACGTTCTACACAGCCTTTCTTCACTTGGAAATAGACGAGTGAAAGTATTTCAACTTCTCATTAGGAAGCAGCAATGGCTATTGTGTTGGAATAATTAGGCATCTGTTTTTCAAACCTCACTCTGGTAATAATCCATCGCGATGAATCTTCACTACTCAGTCTGCCTAGGGAGGCTTCCAAATGCATGTGACTCATTTGACATTTGTTTTCTTGAGGCTTTGGAGGTAGCTCAGCTGCCTTTTGCACTGTCTCTGGACAATGTTAATGCCCTAGTTGTGTCTATGCCAGTTCTTCTCCATAGCAGTGGCCCCCACGTGCCCCAGGGGCCTCCTCTGGGGCTGCAGGAGGTACCTGGGGTGGTTCTGCTTGGGCACAGGCACAGTGAGAAGAACCTGGAGGCTGCAGCAAGGGGCACAGAACTGAAATAAGAGTGCAGGAGTCACTCTGGGGAGGCCAGCTTTGCCCGGATTCTGACCCTGGACTCCCAGGTTGAGAGCTTGTTTATTCCACAGGCACACAAAGTGAGAATCAAGGGAGAGGCTGGGGGGCGAAGGAGGCAGAATGTCACACGGGTGGCTTGGTGCAGGCAGGATTGTAGAAACAGAAAGCATTTCTTCATCTTAGTCCTTTGTAAGTAAGTTCAGCAGCATTAAATGCGTTCACGTTGCTGTATAGCCGTCAGCACCTCCGTCTCTAGAACTTTTTCCTCTTCGGCAAGTAGAACTCTGTCCCCATGAAACACTCACTCCCATTCCCCTCCCCAGCCCCGGCACCCCCATCCTGCTCTCTGACTCTGAATCTGACTGCTCCAGGGCCATCCTAGAAGTGGAACCACACGGGATTTGTCATTTAGTGACCGACTCATTTCACACGGCATAATGTCTTCTTGTTACCGCACATGTCAATGTGTCAGATGCCCTTTCTTTTGGAGGCTGAGCCACACTGCACTGTGTGGATGGACCACACTGGTTTCCGTTCCTCTGTGGACAGATCCCAGGTCACTTCTCCTTGACTGTTGTGAATGGCGCTGCTGTGAACACGGCATGCAGCTCTCTCTCCATGTTGCTGCTTTCGGTTCGTTTGGGTAAACGTCCGGAAGTGGAATTGGTGGATCCCGTGGTGAACCAATGCTTCCTCCTTTTGAGGAACCTCCACACTGCTTAGGGACGGGGTGTGCTTTGCGAGCTGCCTCTATGGTCTTGCCATGGGGTGAGGGTTGGCGGTTGTAAGAATGAGAAGGGTCAGATGTTAGAAGCTTTGGAAAGAAGGAAATGAGAGGATTTGGTGATGATTGGCTGAGAGGACCCTCAAACACGTGCCTGGCTTTCCCCTCTTGGGGCACGCGTGGGTGGAAGGAGAGGGAGGAGCCGCTGTAGCCGTCTGGTGAGCCCAGGGAGCTGAAACAGCCGGGTGCAGACGCGCAGTGACCTGGAGTCGAAGATTTGTGCAAAAGTGCACCTGGTGAGGAAGGTGGACGCACTGGTTCCAGTGAGTCTGTTTAGCCTGTTCACGGAAATATTAGGTCTTGACCCTAGTTCTGTGTCAGTCAGGATCACCCTGGAGAAAGTTTAAAAACATACCAGTGCCCAGGCTCCATCTGATGTATTTGTCTGAGGAAGGACTTGGCTACTGTCATCTTTAAAAGTTCTTTACCTGATGCTTTTTTTTAAAATGGAAGAAACGCTTCTTGTTTTACTTTAAAAATATTTTTTCTAGCTTCATTAAGTTATATTCACAGATACACATTGTGTATATTTACGGTGTACAACGTGACGTCTTGATACAGGTATATGCTGTAAGATGAGTTGACAAAGCTAATTAACATCTAATTAACATTTCGCCACCTCACATCCTTATCATCATCCTGTGCTTGTGAGAACACTTAGGATCTCATCTCTTAGCAATTTTCAAGTATACAAACCGTTTACCGTGTGGTACCTAGACCTCCTCACTTACTCCTCTCATCTAACTGAGATGCTGCAGCCTTCCGCCAACATCCTCCCGGTTCCCCCCGGCCCTCCCTCTGGTGACCACCCTCTGCTTCTGAGTTCTCTGCTTTCAGATTCCGCGTGTAAGTGAGGTCACATGGCCTCTGTCTTTCTGGGCCAGGCTTGTTCCACTTAGCATGATGTCCTCCAGGCTCATGTATGTTGTTGCAAATGCCAGGATTTCTCAGTTTTCAAGACCGAGTAGGTATTCCACGTTTTCTTTATCTGTGCCTCTGCTGATGGGCTTGAGGCTGGTTCTGTGTGTTGGCTGCAGTGAACAGCACCTCAATGAACACGGGAGAGCAGATTCCCCTTCCACACGTCGATTTTATTTCCTTCAGATAAAGACCCAGAAGTGGGATTCCTGGATTATTCCTTTATCATTCTAACGTACCCCTAGGATTGAGAATCCTGATATAAAACATATGAAAGGATAATTAAAAGTAAAAGCAAAAAACACAAGAAGAAAGGAAGAAGGAAGGAAGGAAGGTGGGAAGAATATCTGAGTTAGGTTCCTAACGCTATCCTAATAACACTGGGAGCAAATAGCATCATTTTAGTCATTTATTTTTCCGAATGGAGTGTTCCAATCTCCTCATCTTTAAACTGAGAGAGTTAAATGATGATTTTAAGGGATCTTCCAAGTCACAAATTTACGGATCTATAATTCTACTGGGTCAAATTAAAATTAAAAACACTTCATAATGATCTTGATGCTATTACAGTAAATGAGTAACCATCATTTCCAAAATGCGGGGGGACATTTTATAGCACAGTATAGGTTAAAGTCATAAAGCAATGAAGTGACATTTGCTTCTGGTCCTATTTCAAACCATCAATCTTTTTTTTTCCAACTGCCCTCAGTCTCCAAAAGCTCCAAGGAAAGCTGAATGGCATTGGCTGAAGAGCTTAAGATACCATTAGTGCCAGATGAATTAATAAAGCCGTCCACGCCTGTGTTATTACCCATTACCTCTTAAGAGCACGTGCGTTCTCTGAAGCTCATAGAGTGTAATGTATGAAAAGTAATTTTATGATGGGGAAAATGGCTGTGAAATATAGGAGGATAAGGAAGTTTTCTATAAAATTAAAGTCACCAATAAAATAGATTAATGTGGCACATTCAAAATGAATACAATGAAAAAGAAAAATCCCACTTTTTCCAGAAGAGAGGTTTCTAGGGAAGACCTTCAGACACACTAGAATTAAATTGCCCTCTTAGTAACGTTTGTAACATTGGCTCATTATAGATGTTACTTCTAAGAATGGCATTTTTTTTTCATTTTCCTGAATGTTATATTTAGATCAGTTGTAAAGAGTTGGTAATTTATTTGCATCTATGAAGATTGTTATATTGACCCAAATTTTGCATTGATAAATGAATGCAAAATGAAATGAAAACAATAGGCAGATTAAATCATCAAAGAATATTAAGCACATATTATATATGCAGCATAACACTGAGAAAATGTACACACTGTGTGATTTTGAAATACCTGAATATTGAAATAATACTTAGAGCTTTCCGCCTGGCAGGCACACAGATTGTGAACACGTTTTATATAATGGGACCTCAGCATAGCTTTAATCATCGCCCCAGCATTTAAGTGTACCAGCGTCTCATTCTAGTGATGATACATATCTTGTCTCACAGGAATTCCCTTTGGGATGTTTGTTTACTTTCATGTGTTCTTTCATAAAACAAAAACCTGGCTCTACCTATTCTTGTCACCTTATTGTCCATACTTACTTCCTGCAGGGAAATGTCTAGACATAGTGGAAGCAGTGATGTGCTGAGTTTCTGTCTAGGAAGAAGGTAGCAATCCACCCTCAGTCTCCCAGGCATACGTTCGCCCAGGTCCTCAGCCACCAAGTCCTCCTCCTCCACTGACCACCCTCCTCCACTCACTACCCTCCTCCACTCACCACCCTCCTCCAC